CTTTTCAGCTTTTGACCCACAAACTCAGAGACCTGTGTTCCCAACTATTTTTGGAGGATAAACATTTGTATCAGGTCAACTAAACATGGGCATAGTAACAATATTTTATACTACATTTATCCATTTTAAATACACTAACCTCACTCCTTTGTAACAACTAAGGCAAAAATGTCATTAATTCAGAAAATCTTTTTAGGACCCCACCTTGATGTTTCAGGACCCCACTTTGGGTCCCGACCCCGACTTTGGGAACCACTGGTCTACACAGTCTGTAGACCTGAGGAGATCTGAGAGGAGCTGAGGCTGCCAGGAGAACCACCTCACCAAGAACTGAGTCAGGTTTTAGTTGGAACTTAAAACACATTTCAGTCAATGACGTGGAAATTTATCTGTATTTCTTGTGTCTTTTCTGATTTTTAAGTGTTTTTTTGTCCGCCTCCTTAAAACTAAATTTATCATAAATATTAGAGACTACATGTCTTATAAAATAAACGTAGTTGAAGGATCGTTCAGTATTTGTTCTCACCCATGGTTGAATCTTTATCTCCTTGCAGGAAGAGGGTCCTGGGTTCAATCCCTGGTTTGAACCTGGGGTCTTTCTCTGCACAGTTTGCATGTTCTCCTTGTGCTGGCGTGGGTTTTCTCCAGGTTCTTCGGTTTCCCCCTCCCCTAAAAAACATGTAGAACASGTTACCTTCAGGCCTGTGTTGAAGAAGAGATCTGAGGTCTCAACGGTTGCCTGGTTAAATAACAGTAAATTTAAAAAGATAAAAAGAGTAACAAAGTTATTGACACATTAACCAGCAGCTGCTGAGCACTAAAAGCTGTAACTGTGTCTCAATTCATGGCTGTATCCTCCTGAGTGTCCTCCACATACATCACTGCCCTGCACACAAATCTGTAGGCTCCTCCTCATGTGGCCCACAAAYCCCAAAAACAAAGGGTGCATCTGAGCATCCTTCCCAGGATTCAATGTGCCATCAGCAAACGGACCAAATATTTTCTTCYTAAATATAAGTTTAGCAACTTAGCTGATAAAGTTTTTGCTGGAATAAGACGTTAAATAAAATGCAGTTATCACTAGGCCTGCTGCTTGGTAACTAAAAACCAATGATGTCCTCGTGGCTGCTGGTGCTGGTTCTACATCCCTTCTGAACCTCAGTATCCTCCACCGTCTTCACATGGAGGTCGGTCTCTGGGACACTGTCCTGGACTGGTTTAAATCGTTCCTCTCCAACAGGATGAAATGTGTTAGCCTTGGCMATGCCAAGTCACAGACTGTCTGTGTCACCTGTGGTGTCCCTCAAGGCTCAGTTCTTGGGTCCCTGCTATTTCCCCTTCAGGTCAAATCATTAATCAGTATATTTCTTTTCACTGTTATGCTGATGATACACAGCTGTACATCAGGACTGGAGCACCATCATCACTACTGTCATCTCCAAAGAGATGTGTTTAAATTAAAAATGATGGATGAACTGTCAGGTCTTCACCTACCAGACTCAGAATCAGCTCCACGTTTCCTCTTCCCTCCTGCAAACATCAGTTTTACAAGTTAAACATCTTAAAATTTTATCTGAATATCTT